GCCCATCCATTACTAAGCCCATACCCTAAATTTACACACCCCAAAAGGCATCATCTGTTACCTTGTACTACACCAACTACTCGCCATTACTAACATCTACTCCACCAACTCCTGCTAACTCAACTTTAAATCCCTGAATCCTACAACTGTGAATATTGCCTGTATCTTCTTCTATACTCCAATTTTACACTTAACATATATACAGTTAATGTAGCTTAATTATTTAAAGCAAGACTCTGAAAATGTCTAGATGGGCTTATACGGCCCCATAAACAGGTTTGGTCCTGGCCTTTCTATTAACTCTTAGTAAGATTACACATGCAAGCATTCTTATCCCAGTGAAAGTACCCTCTAAATCACCTTGATCAAAAGGAATAAGTATCAAGCATGCACAAATGCAGCTCAATACACTTTGCTCAGTCACACCCCCATGGGAAACAGCAGTGATAGGCCTTTAGCAATAAACAAAAGTTTAAACTATACTAATATCCAGGGTTGGTTAATTTCATGCCAGCCACCACGGCCGAACTAACAGAACTCGGCATAAAGAGTGTTTTAGATCTATCCTTAATAAAGCTAAGCTTCATCTAAGTTGTAAAAAATCCTAGCCGAAATAAAATAAACTATGAAGGAGGCTTTAATACTTCTGAAAACACAATAGCTAAGACCCAAACTGGGATTAGATACCCCACTATGCTTAGCTCTAAACTCCAATAGTTAAATCAAACTCCAATAGTTAATTCGCCAGAACACTACAAGCAATAGCTTAAAACTCAAAGGACTTGGCGGTGCTTTATATACCTCTAGAGGAGCCTGTTCTATAATGGATAAACCCTGATTTACCTCATCATCTTTTGCTCAGCCTATATACCATCATCTTCAGCAAACCCTAGTAAAGGCCATAAAGTAAGCACAAGTATCTACGTAAAAACGTTAGGTCAAGGTGTAGCCCGTGGGGCGCTAAGAAATGGGCTACATTTTCTACACCCAGAAAATCTCACGACAACCCTTATGGAATCTAAGGGCTCAAGTAGGATTTAGCAGTATATTAAGAGCAGAGTGCTTAATTGAATGAGGCCATAAAGCATGTACACACTGCCCGTCACCCTCCTCAAATATTACTTTAGAGATTAGTTTAACTAAAACCCCTACATATTTATATAGAAGAGACAAGTCATAACATGGTAAGTATACTGGAAAGTGCACTTGGATGAAACAAGGTGTAGCTTAACACAAAGCATCTGGCTCATACCCAGAAAATTTCACCATAATTTGACCACCTTGAGCCAACTCTAGCCCTAAACTTGACTAATACTAGTACTATCAAATAACCTTACTCAAACCATTTACCCAAACAAAAGTATAGGTGATAGAAATTTTACCCTGGCACAATAGACGTGGTACCGTAAGGTAAAGATGAAAAAGTTAACCAAGCATAAAATAGCAAAGATAGGCCCTTATGCCTTCTGCATAATGAATTAACTAGGAATAACTTTACATAGAGAACCAAAGTCAAGGCCCCCAAAACCAGACGAGCTACCTAAGAACAGCTAAAAGAGCACACCATCTATGTAGTAAAATAGTAGGGAGATTCATGAGTAGTGGTGATAAGCCTGCCGAGCCTGGTGATAGCCAGTTGTCCAAGACAGAATCTTAGTTCAACTTTAAATTTACCTACAGAGCCACTCAATCCCCCTGTAAATTTAACTGTTAGTCTAAAGAGGGACAGCTCTTTAGACATTCGGAAACAACCTTCACATAGAGAGTAAAAAACACTATCCCCATAGTCGGCCCAAAAGCAGTCATCAATTAAGAAAGTGTTCAAGCTCAACATCCAACCACTCTAAATTCTAATCACACCACTGAACTCCTAACACCATATTGGACTAATCTATTATTTTATAGAAGCAATAATGTTAATATAAGTAACATGAAATATTCTCCACTGCATAAGCCTACATCAGACCAGAATAACCCACTGACAATTAACAGCCTAATATTAATAAACAACCAAACAAATTTATTATTACCTATACTGTTAATCCAACACAGCCACGCTCTAAGGAAAGGTTAAAAAAAGGAAAAGGAACTCAGCAAATTTTACCCTGCCTGTTTACCAAAAACATCACCTCTAGCATTATTAGTATTAGAGGCACCACCTGCCCAGTGACATATGTTCAACCTCCGCGGTACCCTGACCATGCAAAGGTAGCATAATCACTTGTTCCTTAAATAGGGACTTGTATGAATGGCCCCATGAGGGTTCAACTCTTACTTCCAACCAGTGAAACTGATCTGCCCATGAAGAGGCGTACGTGAATAAATAAGACGAGAAGACCCTATGGAGCTTTAATTTATTAATGCAAACAAAGCTTAAATAAGCCCACAGGCCTTAAACTACTGTCCCTGCATTAAAAATTTTGTTTGGGGTGACCTCGGAGCATAATTTAACCTTTGAGCAACCTATGCTAAGATACTAAACCAGTTTAAGCAAATTACCATACATATATTGACCCAACAATTTGATCAACGGAACAAGTTACCCTAGGGATAACGGCGCAGTCCTATTCTAGAGTCCATATCAACAATAGGGTGTACGACCTCGATGTTAGATCAGGACATCCTAATGAGGTAACTGCTATCAAGGGTTCGTATGTTCAACGATTAAAGTCCTACGTGATCTGAGTTCAGACCGTTGCAATCCAGGTCTGGTACATGTGTATTTAAGTCCTCCACACCTCCCATCTACAAGTCTCTTTAAAACAAAGAAATTATGTTTGGTTAAGAGAAGGCTGGAAATGAGAGAGGGGGTTTTACTGGACAAAAAATGTATACAGACTTATGTAACAATTATTGTCTGATATTAATATCTGATGGTAATACATGATTGAGAACTAGGGGGAAGTGACATAATCTCAAACATACATGGGAGAATGTTCGGGGAAATCAAAGCTGTTTTTCTTAATGGAATCAGTTTTGAGAAAGAAGACATGCAAAGAATAATGTACATATATGAAAATATATGAAAGATTCTGTTTTAATTGTTAACACAAATTTATATACTCATATATTGAAGTGAGTCTATAATATATTCTAATTAGAATATTTAACAAGTTAAGTTTATGCCTGCAGTCCTAGTTTTATTACAGAACCCTCAGCCTTTCTCCCTCCTGCCTTGTCTGAAGACAGGTGAGTCCTTTGCCATAATATGAAGTCTTAATTTAGCATGGCCACATTCTGGTTCCAGATCTTTCCCTCCTAGATGAATATTAAGACTGCATTTTGTCTCTTGTCTTTCTTGGTATCTCTTCCCTATGCAAACTTCATGGACACTGGAAGGACTACAAAGTCCTGAGAATCAAGAAGCCTCCATTGAGAAAGGGTGTTTTACTAGAACAAAAATGTATAGAGATATATACAAGAATTATATATAATAATGTTTGTCTTTGTAATTCACACTTAGCAATTCCCAGCACCTTCTCCAGAGACTTCCCTACCTAAACCAGAATGGTAGTCTTTGGGGAAAGTATTTTCATCAATAAAAGGCAAGCTATGCATGAGTTATTCCTGCACTGGGCAGCAAGGAGTGGATAGTTACCTCTGCCTTCGAATACCACTTCATCTGACTAGGACCTGAGACTCTCTCATATCTACTTCCAACCCCAGGTTGAGCACTTCTCTTCTTTCCTTTCTTAGTTACTTCTACTGTGAGGTATAGATTTTACATCCAGTCACTGCCGAAGACTTTCATCAACTCATCACTCATCCTTAAGTCATCTCACACTGAAAACAACTGGGAGCCTCCCTCTTTCCTGTTTCTTTAAAATTTGTCAGAATTTCCCCAAACCTCTAACACCTTTTTTTCAGCAGGGGGCAGTAAAATTCCATTTATTTTTTCTGTTCTCAGCACTTACTATTAAGACCAGATTTCATAGTAAAGTCTAAGGCCAAATCTCATGAATGATTTTACTGATTACTTTTATCTTAAAGGAGCCACTGATAGGATAGAGTATTTCAGGGTTTGGTAAATCAAAACTGTTATATTCCTTCATGACACATGACAGAGGAAGAGTAAGCAGGGGCCCACAAGTGTTACATGTAAATACATACAGACTTGAAGACATGGTGTTCAAACACTAGAGATATAATCGTAAAAACCCAAACCCCATATCAGCATCATGTGAACAAAAATTTTAGTAAATACCAACAGTAGATCTCAGTGAACTAGGGCAAAGGAAGTGGACAAAGCTGGGAGAAATTCTGGGATTAATCTTTGTATCTCACAATCAAAAACAAAGACTTTTCTGTTAAGAAATGGGGGAAAGGGCGGAGGGAGAATGACACTTGGTTTAGACATTGTTTACTGCAGCAGCACCCAAACAATTTTTAGCAATATTACCAAAGCATGTATTGGATTGTATTTTCTGTCCTGTCATGATTGATAGTGCAATTAAAAGGCAGATGGACTAAAATCATCCTAGGCAAAGGCTCAGCTGATTAAGTTGATAAAGCCTGAATACCAAGTCAGTGAAAAATGAGACTGAGAAAGTTATTATCACACAACAATAACACCATATTTTCTGAGGACTCAATGAATTCCAGTTACTGCTCCAAGCTCTTTACATGTGTCTGTATAAACAGATTGCCCCAATTAATGCTCACAAGTTCTCCTATTCCTTGTCTGATCAAGTCACGTTGTTCACTGGTTCCCTCTTCTGCATGTTCTTCTCTCTTGGGTTTGCAGAGTTCATTCCTGTTCATCCTTCAGAACTCAACTCAAATGCCACTTCCTTTCCCAACCTTTTTAATCAGGTAAAATCCCGCTATTATAGGCATTCAAAGCTATGTAGTTTTTATGTTCATAGCTTATAAAACAGTTGCAATAGAATGTTTTGTAAGAATATTAAAGACTTTAGTTAAGATAAGCAAAGCATCAAGCCTACTTTGGATGAGGGAAGTGAAAAAAATATTAGTCATTTGATGGGTTAAAAGGACACAGATGAAACTGTTTCAATAGGATGGCAGTGGGACCCAGGAAGTTTGCAAGGGCTGTGTCATCACACACACACAATGACTTTATCAAGAGCCCATCCTGCTTCCCCACTCCTGGGAGACATCCTCTCCAGCCCCAACTCTGTGCCATGACTATCGGGCTCCTCTGCCACATGGCCTTTTATTTTCTGGGGGCAGGTAAGTCATAGACACAGTTCCTTCCAAAATCTAGAAGGAACACTTCCTCTGTGTTGGGTTTGTGCCTGGCTCAGCCTCAAAGTTCATTGTGAACTCTGTTGCCAATTTCTGTCTCTTCCCATAGGCCTTACGGAAGCTGATATCTACCAGAACCCAAGACACCGTGTTATAGGGACAGGAAAGAAGATCACTCTGGAATGTTCTCAAACCATGGGCCATGACAAAATGTACTGGTATCAACAAGATCCAGGAATGGAATTACACCTCATCCACTATTCCTATGGGGTTAATTCCACAGAGAGGGGAGATTTTTCCTCTGAGTCAACAGTCTCCAGACTAAGGATAGAGCATTTTCCCCTGACCCTGGAGTCTGCCAGCCCCTCACACACCTCTCAGTACCTCTGTGCCAGCAGTGAATACACAGTGCTACATGGATACCGACACTCTGCACAGAAAGGGTCGCCTCTAAGGCGAGCCTTCAGAAACCTTCAGAAACCTCATCTTAAACTACAGAAACCCCTGCAAATCGTCCCAGACTCCTCAGCCTTGAGGGACCAGTGTGCTTTAAGTAACAATCTGGACTGAAGACTATCTCTGGCTCAGTCTCTGACAAGCTGAGAAATGACCCAGCCCTGCAGTCATCCTGGCTGACTTCTTCCTTGCATCTAGTTGTTGCTGTTCAATTGAGCTTGCACAAATTTTATCCTTCAAGTTAAATGCGATGATATTTGACAGTTGCCTTATGGCTAGCTGAAGAAAATCTTTGTCAGCTAAGAAACAGGAAAAGGATCCTCTGACTTTCTGCACAGGCTGTCTTTATCTCTGGTTCATGGTTCCTTCTTCATGTTAAACTTGTTCCTTCATACACAGCCACACAAAGTCCCTGCCCTTCCCTGACCCCAGTCCTGCACCTGATGACTTTAGTTCCTCAATCTATGACTTTGAACTTGGAATACATTTTTATTTTCATTTGAAATAAGTGATTAATGATTATTTTCACTAATCTCCCTCTAAATAAATTTAATTTTAGCTAAATCTGCATGAGGCCTAAGGAAGAGAAAAGCCTCCAAATTTGGCAAATAATAGTCTTCAACAATGTCCCTGGATTCAGCCCTAAATCTCTTTGGAGGCTACCCTAACCATTGGGAGACTATCCTACAGAGAGATGATTCTTCTGTCTTGGATATGCTGAATCTCAGGGAAGTGTTCTCCATCCACATGAGATCAGACCCTGGGACCTTGAATAGATTGATTGATATTTCACAAAAGCATAGACTGCTGTGAGGCCTTGGGTGCTGAGCTCAGATGTGAAATCTCTGTTTTGAGGTTACCAAAAAGTAAAGTCACAGAGTCTCTGATTTTGGATGTCAAGCCAATCTTGACCTGGTGGGATAAATCCCACTTGGTCATAGTATATAATCTTCTCACATATTGCTAATTATATAATCTTTTCACATATTGCTAAATGAGGTTTGCTAATATTTTATGGAGACCATAGACCTACTAGTTTGTAGTTTTCTTGTGATTTCTTTTTATTTAGGATCAAAGTAATTCTGACCTGTTAGGCTGGATTAGGAAATTGTGGACTGAACTGGGATAAATTTAGGAATAATCTTATTCTTTATTTTGTGAAAGTTATTTTTTGTAGGAGTGGTATTATTATTTAAATATTTGATGGAATTTACCAGTAAAGTCAGCTAGTCCTGAGCTTTTCTCTATGACATGGACTCACAGACTATTGCTCACATGTTAAAATCAAGCCATGGCCTGTATTTGTATGACTCACGAACTAAGAATAAATTTTATGCTTTTAAACTGTTAGAAGATGGAAGGGGAGGAATAGGAGAAAAAGAACTGACAGAGGTTGCATATGGCCCGAAATATTTACTATCTAGCTCCTTACAGAAAAATTTTGCTGACCTCTGCTCTGTAAGGTGTTATTTTTCTAAAATACTTCTTTACTTGTAATATGTCTATCCAGACATGTGGCTTTCTTTTTTTCTCAAGTTACTCTTATGTCTTTCTAGGAATATGTCTGCTTCATCCAAGCTGTCAAATTCATTGACATAGTGTTGTTCATAACATTTCCATATATTTCTATAGGGTTAGTAATTGTATTCTTCATTTTCACTCCTGATGTTGCAATTTTGATTTTCTTGCTTTTTATCTTGTTCAGTATGACTAAAGCATTATCAATTTTATAGCATTTCAAGTAACCAGGTTGTAGTTCCATTGATTTTCTCTATTGTTTTTCTATTCTCTATTGAATTGATTTTTAATTTGATCTTTATTATTTCTTCCTTATGTTTACTTTTGGTTGACTTTTCTCTTATTTTTCCAGTGTCTTTAGGTAGAAGTTTAGATTATGACGGAAACTTTTGTGGTTGTTTTCCTGATGTAGTTATTTAAAGCTATACATTTCCCTTTAATCATGGCTGCATTCCATGTACATTGATATAGTTTTGGTTTTTTAGTTAAAAGCATAATTACTCTAGAAATTCCTTCTGAAGCCCACAAGTTATTTAGGAGTGTGGTGTTTAATTTCCAAATATATGTGATTTTTTCAGCTTCTTTCTGTTGTTTATTTCTAATTAAATCCCTCTGTGATGAGAGAATATACTTTGAGTTATTTTAATCCTCTTACCTGTATGTTATTATTTAATATATAATCTATATGGGGAAATACTCTATGAGCACTTGAAAACTGTACATTCTGCTGTTGCTGAATAGAGTGTTCTAAAATCATCAATTAAGTCAAATAGTTTAGTAGGGTTTTTCAGGTCTCTTTCACCCTTATTTACTTTCTGTCTAGTTGGTGTAATCAATTTTTCAGACTGAAGGATTTAAATCACCAACTATAATTTTGATATGTTTATTTTTGTTTCATTTGTCATTTTTACTTTATGTATTTTGAGACTCTGTAGTCAGGCTCCAGGACTTACTCCACAGTGCTGTACAGGCACATGGTTTCTGCACTAAAAGTAACTAAACTTAGAGATTTGTGGGATACCATCAAGCATACCCACATATGTAAAATTGGAGTCTCAGAAAGAGAGAAGTGAGAGAAAGATTAAAAAAAAATGGCCACAAACTTCTCAAATTTGTTAAAAAACATTAATCAAAAGAACCTAGAAGTTTAACATCTCTCAAACAGAGTAAACACAAAGATATCTATGTCTAGATACATTATAATTAAACCTCAGAAAGTCAAAATTCTGCAAATAATATATTGAAATCAGTATTTTTTCTCAACAAGAGAAAAATGACTCATCATGTGAAAGAGAAGAGCAATAGAATTAACCTGACTTTAAATCAGAAGTCATTGTTTCTGACTTTAAATCAGAAACAATGGAGATCAGAAGATAATGGAGAGGCACTGAAAGGAAAAAAAATTCCACCCAAAATTCTATATCCAGAAAAACTATCCTCTATAAATGAAAATGAAATAAAGACATTCCCAGATAAGCAAGGCTACAGGACTTTGTGGTTAGCAGACCTGTCTTACAAGAAATATTAAAGGAAGTCATCAGGCTGAGAGAAAATGACATTGATAGTAACTAAAATCCATAGTAAGAAATTAAAAGCACCTTAAAGAATAAATATATGTGTGAATAAATATAAAAAATACATACCTACAAACACACATAGAAGGAATATATATTTTGTATATATATATATATATTTTTAAAATTTATTATTATTATACTTTAAGTTGTAGGGTACATGTGCATAACGTGCAGGTTTGTTAAGAAAATGTGGCACATATACACCATGGAATACTATGCAGCCATCAAAAAGGATGAGTTTGTGTCCTTTGTAGGGACATGGATGCAGCTGGAAACCATCATTCTTAGCAAACTATCACAAGAACAGAAAACCAAACACCGCATGTTCTCACTCATAGGTGGGAACTGAACAATGAGATCACTTGGACTCAGGAAGGGGAACATCACACACAGGGGCCTATCATGGGGAGGGGGGAGGGGGGAGGGATTGCATTGGGAGTTATACCTGATGTAAATGACGAGTTGATGGGTGCAGCACACCACCATGGCACAAGTATACAGACATTTCTCAAAAGAAGACATTCATACAGCCAACAGACACATGAAAAAATGCTCATCATCACTGGCCATCAGAGAAATGCAAATCAAAACCACAATGAGATACCATCTCATACCAGTTAGAATGGCGATCATTAAAAAGTCAGGAAACAACAGGTGCTGGAGAGGATGTGGAGAAATAGGAACACTTTTACACTGTTGGTGGGATTGTAAACTAGTTCAACCATTATGGAAAACAGTATGGCGATTCCTCAAGGATCTAGAACTAGATGTACCATATGACCCAGCCATCCCATTACTGGGTATATACCCAAAGGATTATAAATTATGCTGCTATAAAGACACATGCACACGTATGTTTATTGCAGCACTATTCACAATAGCAAAGACTTGGAATCAACCCAAATGTCCATCAGTGACAGATTGGATTAAGAAAATGTGGCATATATTTTGTATATATTTTTAAGCATTTGATATACATATATAGGTTGAAACTTTAAACATTATGAAGTGTTTGTTTTTCTCTAATAATAATTTTTGCTTTAAAATGTATTTTAAAATGTATTTCTCTGATATTAATATAGCCACTCAAGCTTTTGTGGTTACTACTTATATGACATATGCTTTTCCATACTTTACTTCCAATATATTTGTGTCTAAAAATAAAATCTAAAGTGATTTTCCCATAGTCAGAATATAGTTGAATTTTGGTTTTTCTATTTTACAACATAAAATCAACTCAAAATGAATTAAAGACATAAGCATAAGACCTGAAATCTTTAAAATATTATTAGAAAACATAGGGGAAATGTTTCTTAATACTAGTCTTGGCAAATAATTTTTAGATATTACTGCAAAAGCACAAGCAACAAAAGCCAAAATAGACAAGTGGGATTACATCAAACTAAAAAGCTTCTGCACAGGAAAGGAAAGGAAATAATAAACAGAATAAAAAGACAAGCTACACATTGGGAGAAAATATTTGCAAACCACACATCTGAAAAAGGATTAATATCCAAAATATGTAAGAAACTCAAATAACTCATGATCAAGAAAACAACCCAATTAATATATGGCCAAATGACCTGAATAGACATTTCTCAAGAGAAAGCATACAAATGAAGACATGTTCATCATTGCTAATTATCAGAGAAATATAAATTAAAGCCACAATGAGATATCACTTCACAACTGTTACATTGGCTAATACTACAAAGACAAAGGATAACAAGCATTGATAAAAATGTGGAGAAAAGGGAAGCATGTACATTGTTGGTAGAAATGTGTGATGGTTAATACTGTGTGTCAACTTGGTTGGACTGAAGGATGCAAACTACTGTTCCTGGGTGTGTCTATGATGGTGTTGCCAAAGGAGATTAACATTTGAATCAGTGTACTGGGAAAGGCAGACCACTCTCAATCTGGGTGAGCACAATCTAATCAGCTGCCAGCACGGGTAGAATAAAAGCAGAAGAATGTGGAAGGACTGGCTAAGTCTTCTGGCCTTCATCTTTCTCCCAAGCTGGATGATTCCTGCTCTCAAACATCAGATTCAAAGTTCTTCAGTTTTTGGACTCTTGGACTTAAACCAGTGATTTGCCAGGGGCTCTTGGACCTTCAGCCACAGAATGAAGGTTGCACTCTCAACTTCCCTACTTTTGATGTTTTGGGACTCATACTGGCTTCCTGGCTCCTCAGCTTGCAGAAGACCTATTGTGGGACTTTACCTTGTGCTTGTGTGAGTAAATACTCTTTAATAAACTCCTCTTCATCTATCCTATTAGTTCTGTCCCTTTAGAGAACCCTGACTAATACAAAATGTCAATTAGTACAGTCATTTTGACAAACAGTATAGAGGTTCCTCAGAAAATTAAAACTAGAACTACCATATAACCTAGCAATTCCAGTTCTAGATACAAATCCAAAAGATA